TTATGCTTGTCTGTAAATGTAAAAGTCCCACTTCCACATTCTTCAGCACAAAGAACTATCTGCATCAGTGAAAAGACTTTCGTAAAATGTGCATTCACTTACAGCTGGAACATTTTACAGACTGATTGAACATTTCCAAAAATAGACATCAATGCAAATTTCAGCAGGCCCAGATGTTGTGTATATAAAAATTATTGTTAGGACTGATTTCTGCACATCACACTACTTCAGAGAACTGAAGAATTCAAAAGATAAAACAGCAGGGGCTTTGCTTATTTATGAAGGGAACAAAACAAATCCAACACGCATCTTATTCAAATAAAAATACTCTTCAGCTGAGGACATACTGAAAGCAAAGTAAGCAAGAGAGAGAGTTTGCATGAATAAATATCCTGGCACATATCATATATGTCTTGGATGACTAAGGAATAATTTACATTTCTCAGCCCATTGGACTTCCTTGTCCCAAAGCTTAACAAAGGTACTCCTGATAGATTTAGCAGTAGTTGTTTGGTTCCTCTGCTCTGGCAGCTGCACACATATTTGGGTATGGATGAGGATAATTAAGAAAAAAGCCCCGCCATCTATCTGTAAAAGCACAGGAGAAAATGGAGTAAATTATCACTTAGGTCCAGCAGTTGAGGGAGGAAATGCAATATCCCATATAAACAGGAGAGGGAGCCCGTATAACTTGCAATCTCACTATCAGCCCTTTTGGATGGTTTTTAGGAAACTAAACAGAACATGATATCATATAATCCTTAGTCCACTCAAACTGCAACTTTAAGAAAAAAAGTTAAAACATTATCCTTAATCTGATATCAAATACTCATAAGTGTTGAGTGAGCTGCTCTGAGACTGATGATGGAGCTGGCAGTTAAAGTGCTATACCCTCAGGCTAGGGACAGACATTCAAAAAGCCTGAGCCTCAATTGATTCAATTTTCGCAGGTCAGTCTAATCTGGCTAAGCTAAACCAGTTTGTAACTGCCAGACATCCCTTCTGGACTGAAGAAATGCCGGCACATGCCTGCAGTGGCTCAGGCTAGAAGCTGCGGCATGCCAAGCCACGAGAACATGGTGGCAACAGTGAGATTGCCATGCTGCAGGACTTACCGGCGGTGCTAGAGCATTCTGAGCTGCAGCCAATAGGACGCCCAAAGAAAAAAAAGCTGCCGGCAGCATGGATGCACTTTATAAGCATGTGCCAATGCCGATTTGCCAGTGGAGGCAATGGGGCAAAGCTGAAAGCCCCATGAACCTGTTCAAAGGCGGAACCAGAAGAGAGTCCCCAGCAGCCGAGGGAAGGCTACAGCCAAGCCACAAACCCTGGGAGGGGTGACTGGTGGCAAGTGATGTGGAAGGTTGGCTTCAGAGAGTCGAGCCAAGGCAGCAACAGATCTGCAGGACAAGAAGAGAAGGACGATTGGTAAAGCACCATGAGTGAGGAACAGGGGAAGGCTGTTGCCCCTTCAGGAGTATATTCATTCATCTAGACTGAATCAAAGAGGGGCCAAGTATAGACGCGGACTTGGCCCAGGTGAACCAAGCCAAAAAAGGGACCAAACAAATATGAGGTAAAATCACATCCATGCAACATCAGAGTTACAACAGGTTGGTACTAGGTGGAGTACAGGGGAGGAAGAGCCATTTATTAGCTTGGGGGTAGGCCCAATGAACCCTCACTTCAAGATCACACAAGGATGAAGAATAAGAGTTTATGAGAATCATAGAAAAGGAAGTTGCCAATGTTGAGGGGCAAGTTGTAAAACCTGAACTACAAGTAAGTGACCCATGTTTTGAAATTTGGGATGGGTTATTATACTGGGTAAAGCAATCTGAAGTGGGTGAGCGTGTTCTGCAGTTATTGGTGCCACAAGCATTCTGGAGGAAGATGTGGAACATGGCTTATGTGATGCCCACAAGCGGACACTTTGGAAGAGAGAAAACACTAGGCAAAAATCGAATGGTTGTTCTTTTGGCTGGGTATATGGGAAGGAGTAACATGTCAATGCGGGTCCTGCATGGAGTGTCAGTTGGTGGAGGAAAGACGGCTGCAGAGGGCTCCTTTGCAGGTCATGCCTATCATTAACACACCATTTGATAGAATTGCCCTCGATGTCATGGGGCCACTCACCAAAAGTAGTGCAGGTCATCAGTATATACTAGTTTTAAATCAATTATGCAACATGGTATCCCACTCAGAACAGTCACTGCATCTCACATTGCGGAAGAGTTATTAAAGTGTATTTCCTGTTTTGGCGTACCTAGGGAAATCATTACAGACCAAGGTATGAATTTTATGTTAGAGGTGCTGAAGGCTGTATGTCACATGCTGGGCATTAAGCATTTAAGAACATCCGTTTATCACCCCCAGACAAATGGCCTGTTTGTGGGCCTAAATGGCACAATCAAATGTTTGTTGCATACAGGAGCCCAGGAAGTGGGACCTGCTCTTAGTGCCACTAATGTTTGCTTTAAGGGATATACCACAGGTGTCAACCCAGTTTACACCCTTCAAATTAATATTCGGCCATAAATCCCAAAGTTTACTGCAAGTAACCAGGGAAGAGTGGAAAAATATGGGGCATAAATGAGTCAGGGTCCAACAATTTAGACAGGAGATGATTGAACGCCTTAAGCAGGCCCAGCAGTTAGCCCAGACATATATGGAGAGAGCACAGCAATGGCAGAAAGCTAGTTACGACCAAAAGACATGGGAGAGTTTCAGACCAGGGATAAAGTGCTGGTTCTGCTTCCCTCCTCCGCAAATAAACTATTGACTAAGTGGCAAGGGCCTTTTGAGATAACAAGGAGGGCTGGGCCCACAGACTATGAAGTATACTGCCCAGGTCACATAAGGGAACACCAGATCTACCATGTAAACCTGTGGAAGGCTTGGAGGGAGCCAGAGGGGTGGTTACTGAGTCCTGAAGAAGTAAGAGAAGAACTAGGCCCTGAGATATGAGAAAATACACAAAGGGGTACAATAGAAATAGGAGACTGCCTCAAGGATGAGCAGCAGAAAGAGCTGGGTTGGGTCATCTTAAAATTTGGTGCTGTGTTTAGTGAGGTCTCAGGAAAGGTTAGGGGCGTAGTGCATGAAATAAATATGCCCAAAGGGGTAGTTGTGAGGGAAAGGTGGAAACTGGTCCCCCATCATCTACAAGCTCGGGTGTATGAAGAGATACAGAAAATGCTTAAACAAGGGGTGATAGTACCATTTCAGAGCCCCTGGAGAAGCTCAATGGTGGTCATCCTGAAATATGATGGGTCACTGAGGATATGAATGGATTTCCGGGGTCTTAATGCTGTTGCACGGTTTGATGCATTCCCCATGCCCCACGCAGAAGAGCTACAAGAACGAATAGATCAGGCAAAGTACATCTCTACCTTGGATCTTTCCAAGGACTACTGGCAGATCCCTATGGCAGGAAAAGACCAGCAGTAAATGACTTTCAGTATGCCATGGGGACTATTTGAATTTAAAGGATGCCATTTGGCCTTCATGGCACTGCAGCCTCTTTCCAAAGGCTGATAGATAGCATCATAGCTCCACATACAAGGTACACTGTAGTGTACATCAACAACACTGTAATTTATTATTAATCATGGCCTGAACATCAGCAACATGTGGAAGCAGTGTTATGAGAATTGCATCAATTTAATATGACAGCAAATCCTAAAAAGTGTGCATCAGGAATGCGGGAGACCGATTATCTTGGGTTCCATGTGGTACAGGGGATCATATGCCCACTGGTGAGTAAAGTAGAGACCATAGAGAAATATAAACCACCACAAACAAAAAAACAAATGCGCTCCTTTTTGGGTGTGACAAACTGGTATCAAAGATTTATAGGCAGAGTTGGCCATACCCATGATGGACTCCATAAGAGGCAAAGTGCAAGGTATAAGACACTGGATCCCCATGAGGGAGGAGGCCTTTAGAAATATCAAGAGAGCCTTATGTCGTGATGTGCTCCTGATGATTCCTGACTTTTCTAAGCCTTTTATCCTACCAACTGACACATTCAAAATGGCAGTGGGGGCAGTTCTATGTCAAGGAGAAGACAGAGCTGAAAGACCAGTGGTGTTCGCAAGTAGGAAATGAAACACAGCTGAACTCAGGTATTCAACAATTGAGAGGGAATGTCTGGCTATTAAGTGGATGCTCATATATTTCCATTATTATTTAAATGGGATGGGAGTTTACACTCATAGCGGACCATGCGCCTTTACAGTGGTTGCACAAGTCTAAGTGTGATAATGGTCACATAATGCATTGGGCACTAGCTCTTCAGCCCTTTAAATTTTCTGTTGGGTACAGACCAGGAACAACAAACAAGGTTGTTGATTTCTTGTCTCGATATAGTGAGTCATCAGCGAGGCCAATGGAGCAGAAAGTGCGGCTCTATCAGAAGATTGACAAAGCACGCCAAAAAAATATCACACTCAGGATGCCACAGGGCAACTTATGGGGGGAGATATGTGGCAGGGGCAGTGGGGTTGCCAAGCCATGGGAACCTGGTAGTAGCGGTGAGATCCCTGTGCCACAGGCCTTGCTGGCACCACCGCAGCATGCCAAGCCACGGGAGCGTGGTGATGGGATCACCACAGCACAGGCCCTGCTGGCAGTGCTGTGGCATGCCTATCCATGAGAACATGGCAGCAACAGTGAGATTGTCACGCCACAGGACTTAGTGGTGGCACTACAGTGTCCAGAGCTGCATCCAACGGGGGCGAGTACATCCAAAGCAAAAAAAAAGCTGCTGCCAGCCTGGACAGGTTTTATAAGCGCATGCCAATGCTGATTTGCGTGTGGAGGCAGTGGGGAAAAGCTAAAAGCCCCACAAACTGGTTCAAAGGCAGAACAGGAAGGAAGTCCACAGCTGCCGAGGGAAGGCTGCGGCCGAGCCACAAACCCTGGGAGGGGCAACTGGTGGCAGCCTCCAATTGAGGAGCTGCCCTTACAGGCTGACTCAGGGGAGTCAGGTGACTTACCAGGACAGGTGACATGGAAGTCTGGCTATGGAGAGTGGAACAAAGGCAGCTGTGGATCTGCAGGACAAGAAGAGAAGAACGACTGATAAAGAACCATGAGTGAGGAACAGGGGAAGGCTGACACCCCTTTTGCCCCTTCAGGGGTATATCTGTTCATCTGGACTGAATCAAAGAGGGACCAAATATAGACGTGGAATTGGCCCAGGCGAACCAAGCCAAAAAAGGGACTGAATAAATAAGAGGTAAAACCGTGGCTGTGCAACATCAGAATAACAACAGGTTGGCGCTAGGCAGGGTGTAAGGGAGGCAGAGCCCCAATGTTCTCGTGCTAACAATTAGACCTAACAAGATACCACTGAGCCAGGGGTAACATCAATCCCAAAGATTAAATTTCCAACAAAAACGTGGCAGGTGAGACGCATCAGTGGTCTTGGTAACTGGTCCCAGTCAAACTGTCGGGCCACAAGGCCGCAGTTAGCTCTGGGTGACTAGAAAAACCTAAGTGGGGAACTCAAGACAGGCATGGCAAGTTACAATCCCAAGCTGGTTCCAGCCATTTTCAAACTGGTTTATGTGCACTGAACTTCTGTTCTGTTACAGGTTTAAATTAGTTTCTGATCACTTAAACCAATTTATGCATAATGTCTGTCCCTAGCCTCAGGCATCAGGCAACCAGCCCCCACCACTCCTGAGGTGAATTATGCAACTCTCACTTTTAAAACAGGCCGTGGGTTATAGCACCAGGTAGACAAGCCATTCCTGCTCAGCAGGGGTGACCAGGTTCTGGAACCTCACATTCCTCCTCTGATGAGTCTGTGCTCATGGGTGAATCTAATGATCAGATACTGTTCAAGTACAGAGCATAACATGAAAGGAAAAGAAAAGTATTCTAAAACAAAGCATATGCACACATTAATGTTACCCAAGGCCTTACCATCCCATGATGGTGAGCCAGGAAGTTTTACCTTCTTGAGATACCCTAGCAGGTCCTGAGTGGAAACCTGAATGGCTCTCTAACATTCACCCCAAGAGCTATCACCTTGGGGAGGGAGGGTGTCACTTTTTTATCCAGCAAGAGGTCCTTTGTCTCACCAGTTTCCAGACTTCTGGCCCTGCTAATCACAAAGCTGTCTGACTCATTGGGAGGTCAGGCCAATTTCCTCAGGGTCAGTGGGCTTTCCATTGTCCTGTAACAAAGCTGAGCTCTTAATCAAGGGGCTTCTTTATTCTGAACCATTGTTCACCTCCCTGTTTCCCTTCCCTCCCCAAGAGCCATGTTAGGTTAAATCAACATAGACCTACTGGAAACATCCCAGAGACAAGGTAATAGCATTCATAAATTATTATTACAGAGCAGAACTGCCCCACCACAACTGTGTGTGTGTGTGTGTGTGTGTGTGTGTGTGTGTGTGTGTGTGTGTGTG